TTCCCCGGTTGTCCAGGGGGTGGCTTCAGCCTCCTTTCCTTTGGGCTACTGACTCCTTCACAGCCCCCTGACAACATTGAGCTCAGGCAATGTCGTCCCAAGACCAGCCCCCCCATACCATGCATAAGTGCCTCCCTCCATGCCTCACCCCAACACCAATGCAACTGTGAGGTCCCAAGTCATCCCCACGGGTGGAAACACCTTCCCATTGGGAGCCAAGCTTCTGCCACACACTGAAGCTGGTCTGTCTTCCACAGAGCCAATGCCAAAATGTGCATTTTACACGATTGCCCAAATGTGACAGGGCATGCAGCCTGTCACCGTCTTTTCCTTGAGGTCGACCATGAGAGTAAGCAGTCACGCTGCCAGCGTGGCTGGAGATAGATGACCCCAGCCCCAGCCCCAGGGGATATGGTGACATTGGTACATTTGATTTTCTAATGCAAAATGGTTGATTCTCCAGTTGGTTTATTTAAAGCTACGCCTAGATTTTTAAAGTTTCTGGTTGGTAGTTTTCAGAAGTCTTATGTGACTCTCTCAGATTTGTGAGCAACCAGATGAAATGGGAAATTAGGAAGTGCTGACTTTCTCTCCCTTACCTGGTCCTGGAGAAATTTAGAAGTTTTCTTATGTACAGGTAAGTGCATCCCACCCAAAGTTCTCCATAGCTGACAAAAAAACCCCACTCTGTCAAATATGTAGCCAAGTAGTATCAAATCCATGGAATGAGGAAAGCAAGCCATGGGACTGTAATATTTAATGAATAATCAATTTGTCCCCAAAATTCAGTCTGAGAGTGGCCAAAATTATTTGCTACTTTTTGTCAGGCATGGTTCCTAGTTTTAATTTTAGAAACTGGTGAAAAATATGAAGAGGACAAAACTTCTAATTGCCAACATTTCTTCAAGTATCTCAGTTTTTTCTTTCAGAATGCGTTTTCATCTTATAGCAGAAAAAAAGGTTTTTGTTTTTTCTTTAAAGGAAAAAGGGATCAAAGTCAAATAAAATCCTAAATCTTTTTATTATTAAGCTAGCCAAAATAGAAAGATCCTTTTCATGCTGTTCTGTTTGCTTGGCTTGCTGGCTGCTCCACCATGTATGACACAGGAGACCAGATCCAAACTTGGGACCTCCTTTTTCCATAGCATTTGACTTTTGTGGATCTGCAAAGCTCTACTGCCCAGACCTCAAAAAGAGTTGCTTTTGCCTGTGTTGTAAATGACAACTAAATAGTAGAATGAAGGGAATTTGACAAGGCAGCACTGACCTTTTCTGAATTTGAGTGCAGCTCGTTCAAATGTCTGAGTGAGCTATGAGAGTAACACGTCTATCCCACCCCATCCTGCCCCATAAATGGTTATATTTTTTCCCCAAAAAACATGACAGACATCTCATATGAATAAATCAATTTTATTTAAATAAAATTACAGGCATACCTCGTCTATTATAAACTACCATATAGTTTTTCAAAGGCACCGATATTTAACAATAATTTAAATTTTCTTGAGAGCAGCTACCTTTTTCTGAGTGGTGTTTGTAAACTTGTCAGACTTTCCTCCACTCGTTCAACTCAAGTAAAAGCTAGTGAAATGCTGAAGGTTGTACCTTTTTCACTGTAGTACATCATACTCTTACTGTTCCTGGACTCTTTTGAACAATCCTTGAGAAGAACGGGTTGGGTGTTCTGCATAGCAAAAACCCACCCTGAAACGGACTGTTTCTTTCCTTTGTGGCACCAAACATACATCAGGCACAAAACCCCACTATGACACTCACTCTGCGTGTACTGTAGGTATTAAAAAATTAAATCTAAGAGACCACTGTTTCTCTGAGGCGTCAGGATCTGTTTTCCCTTGCATTTCTTCAAGCTTAATAATGCAATGCCACCTTCTCTTACGTGAAGCGAGAGTGTTGGTAAGAAGCCTGCCCTACAGTCCTGTGTCACAGACTGCATTAGCCTCCGCGTTGGGCTTCTCTGAAGGCATCTTTGCTAAGCACGGTTGCGCCAAAACCAGCAGATGTGTCTGATGGGCTTATTCGTCCAGTTCTCTGATGGTTTATGGGAGATTCACAGCAGGGAGCCAGAGGGTGATAGAGGCGATACCCCTCAGCAGGCTGAGTCCTGCCCAGGTTTTCTCCCACGAAAAGGCACAGACCTACAGCCGCTGCTGGCTGATGCCCGGGTGCAGGTGAGGATGGAGCCAGAGCCACCAGGCTGAGGCGGTCACAGCAGGAACTGCAGCCACTCTTCTGGCCACGGCCTTCGAGTACTGGCACTTTTCGTTACTGAAAAAGCAGGTTTTTTACAAAAGGAGGGTTTGCTAAGCACCCTTCACGTTCACAGCTCACTCAGGTTATTGAATCCCATGAGACTCACTTCATCAACTGATTTTGGCTTATAGTGACAGACTTTTGCAATAATCCCCAAGTTCTCTTTGATACATAACCTTTGTCTTCACTGCCCAGCACTGCAGAAGCTTTATATCCCAATCATGCTGTCAGGAAAAAAGTTCTGCCCTTTAAAAGAATCCCAGCAATGTAGAGACAAGAGTGATGTGGCGCAGTGAAGGTAAGATTACAGCTGTCTGTAATGATACTCTGCATTTGGCCAAGGTGTTCCTGCTGTGATTAACAGGCAAGCTCCTCAGCAAAGCCGTGGATCTGCCTTCTGGCATATGCCAACAAAAAATCTGATTTTAATGGAACCACAGTAATGGAACTCAAGCCTTAGATTTGCAGAGTAGAGTAAATATCAATTAATTCAGACTTTACAGGGACACCACTGCAAAGCTGAGACACGGAGCTACAAAAATGCCATACTGATACCTAGCTTGCAAGAATGTCCTGAGACAGACTTCATTAAAGTTTGCCAAAATCTCCAAGGCCCTTCAGAGAAAGGCATTGAAGAAGGGCAAACAAGTATTAAGAAAAGTGACGATCTTTGGCTATGCATCTGCAGTTTCCCATCTTACATTTCTAAACATAGAAATTGTGAGTCAACTATTCTTGCTTTCCAGAGCAGATTCATCTGGATAATTTACACTTGGTTACAAGTGTCATTTCACGATACTTGGCAAAGTTCTAAAATAATTTCAAAAAAATTACCAACTGAAGTCTTTTAAGACGTATCAAAGCTCAGCCAGTTTATCACACTTTTCTTCCTGTTTAGGTTATCCCTTTAGTTTAGAGATACAGCACCTTAATATTTGTACAGTATTAAATATAATTTATCAAGAGAAGCAGTGAAGAAACTTGCATTGTTCCTGCCTATGAGAAGCAAAGTACTTTCTGAAGATCTCCCTCAGAATAAATGACCTCACTGATTTTGGAAACACATTGATAAGCCTGGCAGTTTAAATTCCGCATTAACAGCATGTGCAGCTAAGGAAGTTACTCCTTAAAAAAGAAAAGGTAAAAGGTGGGTCCTAAAAATGAAGTGAATGTGTATGTTGCATTGAAGGTGAAATAGCTTTAGAAAAAGCCTTTGATTTTTTTTCTGAGTCCTAGGATCCCTTTGAGCTACAAACTATTTTATTGCCTGTCTTTTTAAGCAGTCGGCTTACTGCAATTAATAATTTTATGCTACTCATTTTTCTGGTTCACACTGAAAAAAATATAAGGGAAACATAAAAATAGAGGGACCAGATCCTACAGCTCTCATCCATCTACCAGAGTCCAGCTCTGCATTCCCTTAGGAGCATCTGAAAATATTCAAATAATAGAAGGAACACACTTCTGCAGCACCAAACCCGATGCACTGGTACCATTTGAATGGAATTTGTTGTCCCGCGCTAGCCTGTTTCTGAAAATAATTAGAAAATAATATTTTTAGGAGGTGTTACAAAGGGAAGGGCTGTTTTCCAGAATGCTCACCTCACCACTGGTGGATATGTAAAAGGCCCCATGGCCGCCAGCACACGTCCCATGCTCAGGCCCTGGGAAAGCAGAGCACACATGGCAGTGGTGCAGCAAGTGCTCCGTCCTGCCCAGCTGCCTGTGCAAGTCTTTTGAAAGATGTGTTACAGCCAGAGCGATGCTTCAAAAGTCCACCCCGTAAGGGCAGTGTGCTTATATACAACACCATTTTCTGATGTCGTTTGCCACGTATCGGTTATTTGCCTTTTGTTGAGAGTGGAGTGCATCCCAAGCAACGCTGAGCGTTGGGGAGGGCACTCTGTTTTGCACTGGATTGAGACTTCAGTTTTAGGGAGAAAATAAATACAATTAAAAAAAGTATTTTTTTTTATGTCACTCACTGCTGTAGGTAGCTGGGCAAGGAGCTACCATGAAGGCAACATCTGCCCTCCCACAGCTCGCCCTGCAGCCCTGGGCAGGCTGCCCAGCGCTTGTGGGGGTGACACAGGGAAAAGGGTGCAAATCCATCTCATCCTGCCTGCAGATCAGCATTAGCCACTCCTGACCCAGGTGCTGGGTCCAGTCATGTGTCCGCTATGAACCCTGCTGAAATTCCACCAAATTCCACCGAAGGAAAGGAAAGGAAATAACCTTGGGACAGAAACTGGCTTTGTGGCTGGGTGCTGCCTCACTGGACACCCCTCAGCCTTTCTGGAAAAGAAGTTGCTGCAGGTGCTGAGGAAAAGCAGAGTCACTTCACTGCCTTTCAAAGTCAAGTGATAGCAAAGAGGCAGGACTATCTAGGTGCCAGAATTAATAACTGTGTGGCTTTTGATCATCATACACCTCTTTGGTCCTCCTGCCAAGCTTGGTAGTGTCTCTGCGGGAGTGAACACACTGCACATTCTTCAAGGAAACGCTGAATGGGTTTGCAGTGAGTAGTAATTTCCATCTAACATAAAGCCACAAGCAAAGACACGAAGGTGTTAAACAAGACAGCTGCAAGACTCTGATTTTTTTATCTTGTTCTACTCTTTTCCAGGTCTGCACAGTTAGTTATGCACAGTTACTCGCAGGGCAACAAACACGCTTATTTGGACATCCTAATTACGGAAACTTAACAGTCTGCTCAGCAGCAGCTGGAAAACATTTTGCTTAGCTTTTAATTAGGTAAATACACAGACTTCATCATGCCACCTCATCCAGTCCAAGTCTGTCTAATATTAGTCTGGTTTTCTTTGAACCATGTGATAAGCAAGGTACTAGTGCAACCACCACAAATCGATACCAAGCTTACCCTCTGCAAATAAAGACATAACTGTGTAGATGCAGACAGTACTCAGGGGATGATATTTTCATAGCAAATTGTAGTAAAGAATGAAAAAAAAAATAATCTAGAAATGAGGTATCAATTAGCCTAATGGTAGAGCAGGTAAACTAGTCAAGCCATATTCATACTAAATTTCATCTTCTGACTCCTGATCTCGTTCAGATGTTTTCAGTAATCCCATTTCCATGGACTGGGACTGTTTAACCTTTGAACGAACTGCCCTGGAAACAACAACAAAAGAAAGAGTTGTCAATAGTAACTCAAAGGCTCATCTGGACATTTTTACATGGTAAAAAAAGTTTAACTTTTGCATCTCATTGGGGAATTAGGATGATTGATTTATGAAGACTTAAAGCGCGCCACTGTGGAAGACATCATAATGAGGGTACAGTGATTTCAAGCAGAGCCTGGGCAGAATTTAACCCCAGGCCTTAATTGTAGATACCTGTATTTTAGCATGAGTAACTGCTATACAGTGCAAGCATGTACCATGACATTTGTATGTGCTGCCTCTAACGATACCACCTGTAGGTACTGCTTGTAAGAGCTTGTTCCTATAGACACATCTAGGAGCGTATGCCTTAAGCAAACCTGAGTGTAACATCTAGAAAGTTCAATGATGTGCAGGTACAAGACCGATAGCTGTGTTCACTTGGACGAGTACTATAAAGCTGTGAAGAAGACTTGAGTCTGGCCAACCTCCCCACAGACGGGAACTCTGCTGCAGCAGCCGCTGTTCCCAGCATCAGAAGGGATGTAAGATTGCTGTCATCTTCTCTGTAGTTGCCACCGTTTACACAACAAACCAGCCTTAAGTGTCGGTGCCTTTTGGACTGAGATCCAAAAAGACATGACACCTCCTCAGTGCAAAGCAAGACTGCAAGAACTACATGTGGCCAAAGCGTGATTAAAGAGGGATATTAGGATGGTAGGGGTAAAGTGAGGGGTGAGAAGCATGTTTAGGACAGTGCAGGCAAAGGCTTGGTAAAGGGATGAAACTGGCTAGTGAAAAAGAAATTGGATCTAATCACAGGGAATTGCTAGCAATTAAACCTGTCCAATAATCTTCAAAGTTAAGTCATGAAGCCTGCTGAATAAGACACTTGGAATTAGTAGAGACGAGCACTGGGAGAGAAGATGTTGTAGGAAAAAAAAAGGTCTCTCCTCCTTGCAACTTTTTATGCACTTACAAATGTGGAAGACTATAAAAAAGAGCTTATTTTACGTGCGAAGCATTATGCTGTCAGAGCTGTACTTTATCAATGTTTTTTCTCTTTCTACTGAAGCAATGAATCATGTTGTCTTCATTGACTAGCAATACCTATTTTTATTTTACCTTGCAAGACAATTAATTGCTTTGTGGAAACTTTTTGATTTTTCAGTGAAAGTTTTCTAAAATAAAGTTCCTGCTTGACTAAATAGACAGGTCTCCAAAGTTTTAGTATTTCAAGTAACTTACCAGGTGACGATTGTGTAATTCACTGCAAGTATAAGAAAAGCAAAGGCATAATGCCAGCAATAGCACATGGTCAGGAACATCATATTTGTATGATCCGCCTGATTCCACTCTGGGCTCCCATTTGGAGGATAAAGCACAAAACCAATCTGTAATAAAATATAAAGTTTTTAGCAAACATCATTTGACATATATCAGATGCCGTGTCATGTATTATGCTACCCTTCACAAGGCAGACATTTCATTTACTTACAGTGCTGATTATTTCTGTGACTGTTATTAAAAACAATTTTGCAGTCACACTCAGCTGCGATGGATCATTTTACACAGTTTTGTGCAGAAATGCCTTTGAAGATGCAGAGCCAGTCTCAGAGACCCCCTGCTCCTGCCCAGCCAATTAAGGAGCCGGCCCAACAAGTCCTGCAGCCATCACAGTTACCGTAAGGAAAGGGGATGGTGCTCAGCCATGTGTGGGCTGAACTGCAAGCACATCACCAACCAGCAAACCTGCCTGGCCATTTTGCACTGCCTCGCTTCTTCCTAACAGCGCCTGGGCATGTGTTACATGGTTCAGAAGATGAATAATAAATTAATAAATAAAGGCGAGCCAGAAGTCTATTTCTTCTGGGTCATCCGGGAAAAAGGTCAGGCTTTGAAACTATGTAAAAACGGAGCTTTCTCACCCAAGGCTATAAGTTCATGTGAAATACATAGCTGATTTGTTTATTTAGAGCTGGGAAAGATCAAATTCAGATTAATGCATAAGTTGGGAACCTAGTCATCCCATGGCTACACGGGGGTCTGCCTTGATGAGCACTGGTCCTCTGTACTGCCTAACACTGTTCAAAGTCACCGCTCAGCAGTTTAGCTGAGAATTTAGGGGGTGGGAAGAGGAGGAGAGAAAGGAGGAGGGGAGGAGTGCATTTTCCATTTCCATGCAGAGAATTCAATGAATAAGGGTGTTGATGATGCAGAAAGAAAGTCCCTTTACCTTTTACAAATTTGTCATGCTGCAGCCAGTATGTGGTTTTCAGTCACACATACGGCTGAAGTCTGCTGCGGTTGTGAAAAAAAGCCACGCTTAAATCTCTTGTATTTTTAGTTCTTCCATTTTTTACTTTGAAACAAATCCCACATTGTGTCCAGAGCTAAAGAAATCACTTGTTCTAAAATTAGACTAGGCAGACAACAAAGAATAAATGGTTGCATCTAATTCCTCTTATGTAAATCTTCTTAAATCACTGAAGAAAAGTTTACAAACAAGAAAATAAAACACCAAGTGCTGCAGCACCAGGTTCTTGAGTTCACTTATAGAAAAATACAGCCGCCTCAGAGGTCTGTCTTCTTGCCAGAGCAAGTATTTAAATATTTGATTTGGTGCTTAGTGTCCAGTTCTCCTAAGGAACAGCAAAGGTTTTTATTAATCGTGTCTGGCCAGCATATAAAAAAGGGAAGCCAGTCTAGACATGCTGGAAAGAAAAATCACTGGAGTGACCTCAGTTCTCCACTATAAGATGGAACACACAGCGGCACTAGCACTCCTGTTTCTTTGTTACAAGATCACAGCAATTCATTAAATTATCTCTCTTATTTGACAGCAGAAAAAAGGTCGCTATCGAATACCTATTAATTGGATAGAATCACAAGTAAGCGAAGGCACGGCAGCTACATTTTGAGGAGTCCTTTTGGGAGCCACATCCCTGAAATATAAAAGTTTGGGCTGTTACTTCTGCTCAACTCCCCAAACAAACACTGGAAAAGCAGGAGGCTTTACATCGCTCAATCTCTTAACGCGAACCAGGAGCTCAAATACCTTTCAAACCTAGGTTAACACTGTTGAAATGCTTTTTAGAAAGTTGAAAGAGGCAGCCAACATAAAAGATGATCTGTGCCTTCTTTCCTCTTCACGCAATGTCAATGGATGCTTTGCCTCACCCGTCCAGTGCTCCGCTGGGCACTTACTCCCTGCTCCGGCAGCCGGCGGCAGGGAACGTCTTTGTAAAGAACAGCCTGTATGGCCGGGCTGTAAAATCACTGCCGTTTGCCTGGCGAATTTTGAACAGGATGTTACAGAGATCAGAGGGAACGTTCAATCGCAAGGGAGAGCTCAACAAAACCACTTTAGCTTTTTTTATTGATTCACATAAAAGACACTAGAAGTAAAGTGGCTTCTTTGTCTGTAAACCAGATATCATAAATAGATTTATCTCTTTAAAGGGTCACTAAGAGTAGATTGGTTTTTATGAGTCCTTTGAGGTGTGTATTTAAAAGGCATATTATATCACCTGTGAAACATCTGAAAAGAGGTAAATGATTAATTTTGGTGAAGGAAGAAATTCCTAAGGCAGAAAAGTGACCTACCTGCCAGAACCAGCTGCCTTGTAATATGCAGAGGCTTGTACGGAGCATCTCTAGCACAATACTGCCACGGAAGAAAACTTCCAGAAATATGCAAACAGCAGCTCCAAAGATAGCAAATAGCAGTAACTGATGAACATGAACATCCAGCATGGCTCTCCCATGAAGGTGGTAGCAAAAGAGAAAACCTGGAATAAATCAGTTTAAGATATTTTCTTTCCTTGTAATCTGCCTTCATCTGCTTTTAGAATACGGTGAACCTTTAACATTTCCCTTTATGTCAAGATCACCTTCTCGGTTAAGCCAAGAGTAATTTTTTAAGACTGATGCCTAGGTATTGGGTACTTCCACTCTTGAGCTCAGACCAGGAAATTGCACGGGAAGCTGCAGCTCTGTCACCTTTCCTTTAAAACAGAAAGCCTCATTCCTCAGCGTAACGAGAGGGATGCTGTGAGATATACTGTGCGTACAGACAACACGAATTGTGTCGCCAGTGCGATTGCCGTGCAGGTAAATGCATTTCCCACTGGCTTTAACTAACAAGTTGTGTCCCGTGTCAGTACATACATTGAAGCACACGCCCGAGCTACTGAGCGCTTACCCAAAACAGGCTTGTGCCGCTATTTTCGTAACATTTCTGTTTCTATCATCTGAGCCAGTTAGAAAAGCACAGGTACACCTCTACAACATGTGATCATGCTCTGGGCTGCAGTGCAGACAAACCCTCAGCAGTTTAAGTAGGGCTTAAGACTCTTTAAGACTGAGCTTTTTTATGCGTTTCAGGGAGTTAAAACACCCAGCTCCTGTAGAGCTCACTCTCTAAGGCTGATCTGAGATTCCCAGGCAAAGACTGATACCAAGTTTCACACGCATCTCTGCAGAGAGAGGTAAACTGACCTTCAATAAAAACTGCTAAGGAAAGCATCATCCTGTCCATGGCCACTGGCAATGCGTTGGTCCCGTGAGCCACGATGTCAACCAACCCTGAAATGCCATAGAAGAGGTACATGGTGGCATGTTGCCAGTTCATCAAGTGATCCCAGTGCTTTTCCTCATAATTATACAACTTCAGGTGAGGTCCATCGGGAACAAACTGCTCGGCCACCATTCCTGCGCATGATATGAGAAGTATAACTCTTTGTCCTGGTGCTTAAGGTATAGACCGATGATAAGTCTTTATACAAACAATAGAGTCGACAATATATCCCTACGCAGCATAATGCCAGTTGATTTGGGGTTCAGTCTGGCTGCCTGAGGACTGCTCTGGGTGATGGCTGTGTTTTGCTCTCTTCTTCCCAGTTCAGTCATTCCCAGTAAAGTTTTTAACGTGTTGTCCAAATTCAAATGAAAATGCAGAGAGGCTTCAAATATATTAATTTTATATAAATTTGAAAGGAAATAGGCAGTAGGTGGAGAAATAAGTTGCTTTGCTGAGGGAAAGACCACAGAGTGTGTTCAAGCATATATTAAACATCACATAGTCCGGAAAGGAGAAAGCCAGAGGAAACCAGGCTTCAGCTCCACCACTCCTGGTGGGACTATTTGAATCTTACAGTTTCCAGCAGTGAAAATGGAGACCGCTATTCTGTGCTGCTTTATTTTTTTTTAAACAATTGCTATTGTAGTAGTCCTCTGACCGAATTTTTCAGCTGCCTTTCCCAGTGGTTCAAACATGCGTTTAACATATGCTAAAGTCCCCAAAAGAAGTCCCCTGCAATATGCAGGATGACAGAGTTCAGACTCTTAATTCAAAAGGGATTTTTCCTGTAAAGCCATAAAAAGAAATCCCTCCACCGTGCAGATTTATTAAAGGTCCCATGAGAATTTATACTGAGTTAGTATTTGAGTTGCTGCTCCACCGCTTCCCTTACCTTGGCCCCTCGGTGTCTTGCTAACTAGCTGCAGTACTCCAGCAAGGGGAAAGCTGCTTTTAGATATTTTATATGATCAATGAAGTTTGGGAAGAGTTTAAAATATGTTATGGTTTTAAAGCATTAAAGTTAATTATATTGTTTATAAAGTGTAGGCCAGCATCCTGCTGTACAAGTGGATAGGCTGCAGAGTAAATGCAGTGTTTTTCCACCTTTATTTCAAGTTTTCCTAACACAGAAACAGCAGATTTTACTCCTGCTGCTGCTTTTACTGTTTGTCCTTGCCAGGCTTTCTTGTCCACATTTTTGAGTGGAACTGAAATTACCATACGTTAAAATAACATTTTTTTGTTTCAGGGTGAAAATAAAAACACTAGATGCGTGTTTTAGCTGCCCAGTTACCTATAGATACTGACTGGGAGATTTGTAGGAAAGATGTCCCCACTCACATCTCAAAATGAAGGCTATTATTTAGGTTTTGATAATTTTTTAAGGCATATCAAAGTGTATACTGTGCACCCAACATCGGTGCTGATGTATCTTAACCGATACAACACCCAGAGAGGAAGGAAAAGCACGAACAAGATTTTGGCAGAGCCTGCACCTTGATTAGAAACCGGGTAACTCTGAGCATCTAAAGAAGAGTAGATAGATAGAATCTAAAAATCTAAAAACACTAAAAATTAAGTTCCTTCTCAACTTGAGAGCCACATGTGCCGAGCTCCCCAGGTCCCCTGTTATTTAGCTTACTTACTCTGTAAAGGCAAATTGCTACCATCCAGCCTGCTGGAATGTAAACAAGAGCTAGGCACTTCCAGTCGGCTGCACAGCTCACTGAACCATCCCGTGGGTTTGTACCCAGGCCGGCCCACAGCAGAAGGAGAAACAGCCCCCTGCGCCCACCCACGTTACAACAGTCCTGCACAATAAGGTCCGGAGTTCAGTCTTTTGTTATGAACATTTTCACTTTTGAATGACATTAATGGAGAAGCATTGGCATTTACATATTTTATCAATAACTCAGTGGAGACTACCAACATCTGGATTCAAAATAGAAAAGCAATGCCCCCACAGCTTGCTGCTCCCAGTCTGCATGTGAGAGCCCCTTGCCTAAATATCTTTTCTCCCTCCCTGAAGTAGTGAGCAGCATATGAACACTCAGAAAGATGGACCAGCTGCGAAGGAGTCAGGAGACTTTAAAGGAGCTCCAGAAAAGCGCTATGGATGGAAACCATGTTACAGTCATAACCATGTAATTAATAGCAGTAGCCCCACTAGTTCTTAGATTCGTGGTATTTAAAAGACAAAATACCAAAACACAATGAGATATGTTTTATCAGAGAACAATATTTAAAAAAAAAAAAAAAAAAGATGTTAAAAGGCATAGCCTTTTTGTTGTCTGCCCCAAGTCCACCTTACTTACCAATCAGGGCAAAGACAGCTTTGATGATCCCCTCAACAAACTCCAGGCGCTGAAATCCTGCCCTGGAACCAAGGTAGCAAGCGTTCTTGTTTTTTCGACAGGCGTACTTCAGTGGGTACTTCACTGACCACCACAAGCCAAAAAGAAGGAAAAAGCTCCCAGGGAGGGCATGCCCTTTGAAATTGCCCATGGTTTTCTGCTAGGTGATACCTGAAGGTGAAACAAATGCAGATCGATCATGGGAATAGTAGGAGAATTCTGTGGGTTATAATCTTAAACTATCTCCTTGCATAGATCAAAAGGGTGTCACTGAATTAAGTATTCACACTTCATTGAAAAATAAATTTGGATACTTATCTTCCCTGGCTGTTCAAAACACCCAGCCAGTCTCTCCAGTTTCATAGCTTTGCGGAATGAGAGTAAGAGACGCAACTGCGGAGCAGCTGACCTGAAATGCAGAGCTGGCACTTGGCAAGTTAAGAGAAAAAAAGCCATAGTGCACTATGTCATGCAGTTGAAGTTGTACTAGCAAAAGAGAGAACCTGAATATTCACAATTTGGTTCCTTCACAGAGTGTTTTATGTCTCTTTACTCTGCAAACAGAAATCAAGACAATACCTGACTGAAGGGAGACTGAATTGTATCCAGTGGGTAACTATTCACTAATACATTGCATTTTCTGTTTCGATATGGATGTCTTACTGCGATTTACAAACATCAAGTCATTCTTAATATTTGATAGGTAAATTATGCACCCACAGCTAGATATGTATTATCAAGTACATCAAGTGCACTGAGTGATAAGGTTATTAGTTGCTCAGTGTTATACAGTCATTTAAAAGCAGTGCCATTAATAAAACCTTGTAATTCTGGTCATCATCCCAACTTTTAGGACAGTTAACTCAGCCCCAATAGCTTCTTCATTAAAATGACAGTTCTAACTTTAAACTGCAATTTTTCTTTAAGTTACTATAAACTGAGTCTTTGTGCATCGTGACCCAAAGGCGTGCTAAATCTTTGCACAGGCAACAATCAAGAATAACCGCTTTAGAAGCATTGGCAATCTGTACTTTCTGTTATTATCATTGCTGACTTAAAAATCCAATCACCACTCTACACTGGAGCCATCTGGTTATGAATAGAACATGGAGGCTCTGGTATATTTTTCTTTTCAGTAAGTATTTCCTATGGTCAGCTCTGCATAAGAAGTTTTAAACTGTGGCTTGTGGGCCGTGGAGTACTTGCACATGGTTCACGTAATGCTGTCTAGTCACGTAGCGTGAGCCCTCTCTTATTTCTGGAGGCTAAACTCCACTGAAAGCTTTAATTTTTTTTATTATTTTTTTAAGAGAAACTTTTCCACATGCACAGGTCCTGAAGCTGCCATAAGATTATTACCCAACTGCATGAGGAGAGGTGACCTATATAGCCACCAGAAGAAAAAAAAAAGACTGTTCGCAGACAGCATGTGGCAGGCTGTGATTTAAACAGGGATGCTGAAGAGGGTCCTGTCCCTGCTGCCTGTCCCCTTCTCTTCCAGAGCTGATTTCTGCACTGTCAGGGCTGGACAAGGCGAGGGGTGAGCTTTAACAGCTTTCCCTGGATAAAATTCCCCTTAGCTAATTTCTAGGGAACTATTACTGAAGTGCAAGAAAAGGGAAACGTGATCCTGGTTGCCCAAGCAAGTCCATTTCTGGATGTGTCCTCCCAGGTGTTGCCAGTGCTGCGTAGCGAAGCCTGGAAGGAAAGCGTGCCGAGATGGCTGCACCGAGCCCGAGGAAGGCTCCCGAGCGTAGCGAAGCCTGGAAGGAAAGCGTGCCGAGATGGCTGCACCGAGCCCGAGGAAGGCTCAAGGCTCCCGGGGAAGCAGCACCTGCCAGCCGTGGGGCAGCCAAAGGGGGAGTGAGGGACGTGTTTACGTATTCTTATGAAACGTAAAGGAGTCTGTTTGGGATTTCTGCTGTGTGGGGAAGGGCTCCCGTGTGCCACTTGTCTGCCGCCGAGAAGAAAAGCAAGGGTGCCATGCCTAGAGCTGCTGAGGGGGCTTTGCTTCGCCTGGCGAAGATCAGAGCAGCAAAAGCCATGAGGAGGAGCGAGCGGAGACCTGGCAGGTGGCTGTCAGCACGGGCACCCCAGCCACCTGGATGGTGATGACTGCCTCCATCTCTGCTCACAAAATGCTGAATTAAGCTCCAAACCTCCCTGGGGCTGAGCACGCGATAGTGGTGCCAAATCAGCCTGCTTGTGAGCTGAGCATCTCTGATCCTGGCCCAGGGTGGGCTGGGCAGGGCAGGAGGAGGAGATGGCAGCTGAGGGTCCAGGGGTCAGGAGAGCCTTCCTCTGCCTCCTCTGCCTCCCTCACCACCCTTAAAGTCCTGTTGGGTTGATGCCTGTGTGTTATTTGCAGACGGGGAAAGCACTGGTCACTCTCGAGCAGCCCATAGAGCGCAGTTGGGCTCTCAGTGGTGCGGCTGGGGGCTCAGCCCCACAGGTTAGACCCGGCCCTCGCGGTCTCGCAGAAGAGGTACCTCATTTCGGGACATCTTTAGTTGAAAGAGTCTGACCAGCTTGTGTGTCACTGCCACCACTCACTGTGCCATTGTTTGCCTCAAAAAAGGGCAGTACTAACAGGAGCTGAGGTTTTAGACAGTTCCCTAAACTTTGCTTTAAAGTTTGAAATACTTCTTTTGCTTTGACAGTCTTAATTTCTAGTTGTTCTAAAACTCGCTGGCCTGAAATGCATTGCTGTCTTTTCAGCTACATTGATTTTTTTTTTCCTTCTTTGAATGAAAGGAAGAGGGGAGGAGTGGGGAGTGTCCTTTCCTCACCATATGTCTCATCTCAGTGAACACCATTCATTAGAAAGACTTTATTCATTAGGTATTTTATTATTCACCATGAATATATAGCACTCCAAATGGAAAGATTTACCCTGTACCCCACATCAAAGCGAGATACTGGATTCAAAAGGTAAATTAAAGCTGTAAAAAGCCTCCCTCTAGGAGAGTACAGCTGCGGTAAGAGTCAAATGAAGAACAGTGTGTTAATGTCATTTGTAGTGCACAGTATACACAACTTCTAAATCTGTAAATTCACACCTGTGTTATCTAGAGCTCTAATCACTGCAGGGTTTTTCTGCCCTAAATCTGGGTAATCCATCAAGATACGCTGTTTAAAACTATTTTTTGCCTTTCAAAACAAGGGAAAAGAAGAAAAGGAAAAGACTGATACAGCAGCTACTGCTGCATATCCAATGTAAACAAAACAGAAACAGTAAATGGGATTTTCTTTTGCAATAAGCGATACAATCACATATTATTAGCTTTCAAGAGTGTAAACTTCAGTTTGCATTCCAAAGATGTTAGGGATTATCGGTAGGATTTCTCGAGAAAGAGACACATCAGATCTGCCAGCCAGCTGTTGTGGCAGACCTCTGGAACAATGAATATCAACACAGTTGGCTTCAGAGAAGAGTTACGTGAATGATACTTTAAATCTTTAGTAAACTTGAGACCATCGTGACAGAGCTCGCCTTAAACTGATTAAACTTCCCAATTCATGAATTTTCTCTTATCAGGCCTGAGAGTTTATTTCAGCCAGGCTAGAAGTCGACCGCCACCACCCGCAGTTTTGATGTGACTGAGAAGTTTTGCCTGCAAGTAAACCAGGCGATATCACACAGTTTGGGGCTTAGCACGACGCTGAGGACGTGGTGAGGATAAGCGGAGCCTCCCCTGCAGGAAGATCACTGCGGGGTCAGGAGGTGGATTTGGGAGGTGTGAGGCAGGGGTGCCATGGCAGGTGAGAGGAGAGGAGGACAGGATGGCAGGCTGCTGCCTTTCTGCGCTGCGTTTTGGCAGCCCCCATCCCCCTGTGCAGCCCCGGACAAAGCAGCTCCTGCCAGCTGTTCTGCACAGCCTGGGAGCCAGCCAGTTTGGGTATCTCAGGTGTATTGGATAAAGGTGGCATTAGCGTGTTATGACAATACATAATAAGTTTGAGGGTTTATTTTTTACAGACCCTTAATTAGCAATTAGCAAACAATCACTGGAGGACTGATATTGCAAGCTGTGCAAATCCCAGACCCTTTTTTATCCTCAGTGATTTCAGGGCCAGGGGTGCTGGCAGAGCCAGAGCCGCGTTCTAGTCAGCAAACCGTCCTTGCTGCCCACCACGTTCCCTGGAGCGTGTCATCTGCCAGAGATAGGAGGAGACAAAATCCTGGGGCTGTCTCACAGCTGGCTGCCATGAGGTCTGGGTTCGGCCATGCAGGGTCTGCCCACGCTCCCTCCACTGCCCCCCAAAGCCACCCAGTCACACCAAGGTGCTGCATGTGTTCCTGCAGCTGGGGACCTGCTTGCACAACCTCAACCCTGTCCGAATCCTGCTCCTAACGCCACCAGGCAAAGCCAGCAGTGCTGGTGCCTACAAGGGGCACGCAGACAGCCGGCATCACCCGGCCACAGCCCTCGCCATGGATGACAGGGTTTTGGCTTTCCAGTAAGCGCACATAGACTCTCTGACCATTGGTGATCTAATCACCCCCGTTACCTGCTGTGTGCCCCCCTGGGATCCCTGCAGGTTCACTCAGCTTTTCATGTCTCCACCCTGAAACCTCACCACCCAGGACCCTTCCACCACTACCAGCAGCCATGGGGCCACAGCAGCCAGGGCACGAGCAAATTTTGGACTCTGGCAAAGCAAATTTTGGACTCTACCTGAGGGGACCTCCCTCCCCGCCGACCAGCAGGGATGCCACCCCGAGGAGCGTGCCGAGGAACCAGACAAGGTGCCTGCTCCAGTCCAGACTTGGGCTTTCCACAGCAAGTACTCCTTCAAACCTCACTCTCAGGAGGGTGTGGGGCACACCAGGAGGGGAAGCTGCTGTCAGGGTTCAAGGGCACCCAGGGGCCTTAATTGCTCCAAGCAGCCTCACTGAGGACCCCCACCCTGGCACCCCTGCTCAGGGGTCCATGGTCACAGGGGGACTGGAGAAAAAGGTAATTAGGTGTAATTATGGCAATAAACTCAATTGTTGAGGCAGTTTATAAATTCTAAGTATAAAGCAATGTTTCTGCAGCTGATTGGAATTAGGAACAAGAATAATTTACAGCTACCTGTGAAAGTGAGATGCTTTTTTTTTCAGATGCGAGAACTCCAAGCATGGTTTTTTTGCAATAATCACAGAAAGCTCTTCATGATTCAGACTT